ACTGCTCTTTGGACTGGAGAGGGAGGGGGAGAGGAGTGGGAGGAGGGGGAGGGAAATGGGAGGCTGGGAGGAGGCGGAAACTTTTTTTTCCTTTTCTCAATAAAAAAAGAAAAGAAAAAAAAAGACAGGGGTTTAGGATTACGAAGTTTGAAAAGTGGTTGTGGTTTATGGGATGCTATTATAGAATGAAAGGAAGACCGAAATTTGGAGTAGTGTTGTGAATTAATATTTAACATAAATGTGAAGGGAATTTCCATTGATTGTTGATGTTCTTGTCTCCTCAGAATATTTCAATAGTTTTTTTCCTTCGTTCACAGCTGTTTAATAAAATGCTCATTCCACTAGGCCCCTTTGTTCCTCTGCACGGCTTGTCTCTACTTTCATCATATATATATATATATATGTATATATGTTATATATTACATATATGTGTATTTATATCTGATTTTATCTAACTAGCTATATAAAATCTAGAAACCATGATTAAAAGAACACATGGGATATTTTTCTCTCTGAATGTATTTTTTCTTTAGTTATCTCCAGTTGCATTTATTTTACTGCAAGAGTGAATAAGTGAAATAACTTTAAGACAATGGAATCAAGAAAAAATTATTATTATTTTATTTCAAGATAGTACTTTTCTATTTAGTCTTGTCTGTCCTGAAACTCTCTTTGTAGCCCAGATTGGCCACAAACTCAAAGATCTACCTGCCTTTGTCTCCCAAATGCTGAGATTAGAGGTGTGCACCACTACACCCAGCTCAGAGAAAAGTTATCAAAGCTTCTAGATCCAGGAAAATCTATCCGTCAATGCTGTTTCAAATGGACACTAAATTTTGCAGTTCATTTTGTTTTCTTCTAAGAAAAATAAGAGCAGTTTTTTTTAACATACATGAAGTAGCAAGTATGTAACTTGATATGAACTTTGATAACTGACTCATTCCTTCATTCATTTCAAAAAACCCAATACCACTTTTATTTAAGTTTAATGTTTTTGCATGTGAAGGAACTAGCTAAAATTAATAAATAAAAGATACTTTCATGTAACTAACATGGAAATGAAATCAGTTTATTCTTTCTTGCATGAAGATTCAAATATAAAAGAAAAGAGAATAATCCTAAAATAAAATATATTTCTCATATGACAAGCTAATGTAACCCGCAAACAGTTCAAAACTCAAGATTATAAATATCAGGAGTGTATTCAAGCATATTTTCATTGAATGAAAGTACTCTTTGATTCTTGCTCTGAAGAAGTGCTAAAAAATTTACAAAAGAACTGAAAACAAGATATCCAAAAGATATTTGTGCATTTGCATTGGTATCAGCTCTATTTACAAGAACCAAGAGCCAGAGGAATCAAAATGCCCGTGGATGGTTGAAGGGACTCACAAAATGCAGCGGGTTTACACAATGTAAACATTCAGCAATAAGAAAAGAAATCCTGTAACATGCTACAACACCGATGAGCTTTCTCAACATTATGGTTAGTTGGAAAAGCAAGTCTCAAAACACAGCAAAACAAAGAACTCAACCCCACAGCAACAAACCCTTACAAATCCTGTATGATTTATAAGTGGTGAAACTTAGAGAAAACGGAAGTAGAATGGTAGTTACCATGGGCAAAGATGGGGTAACTGGAATTGATGTCTAATAGATATAATTTTTCAGCTTTACGAGAAGAAAGTTTTCAACACTGAATACACTTAGCACTACTGAAGTTTACATTTGAAGTTAATACGGTAAACTTCTCATTTACAGTTAATACGGTAAAGTTCGAATCAGATTAGCCACAGGGTGTCGCTGTCCACCAGAGAATGTTCTCTAAGAAGGCAAATACCCAGAGTCTCTTTGTTACTCCAGATAAAACGACAGGAGAAGCAGCAGGATTTAGCAGGTGTTAGACTATTTCATTTCTTTTAAACATGATCATTTAATTTGACCAACTCACGGAGGACTAGAGGTGATGCCTTCTTTGAGAGGGGGCCCAGACGTCAGGCAGTGTCTGCTGCTCTGGCTTCTGCTCCTCTCAGCCTGGGAGGCAGGGAGCGGCCAGCTCCACTACTCCGTCCCCGAGGAGGCCAAACACGGAACCTTCGTGGGCCGCATCGCTCAGGACCTGGGGCTAGAGCTGGCGGAGCTGGTGCCCCGCCTGTTCAGGGTGGCGTCCAAGGACCGCGGGGACCTTCTGGAGGTAAATCTGCAGAATGGCATTTTGTTTGTGAATTCTCGGATCGACCGGGAGGCGCTGTGCGGGCGGAGCTTGGAGTGTAGCATCCACCTGGAGGTGATCGTGGACCGGCCGCTGCAGGTTTTCCACGTGGAGGTGGAGGTGAGGGACATTAACGACAACCCGCCGCTATTTCCGACGACAGAAAAAACTATCCGATTTCCTGAATCGAGACTGCTAGACTCGCGGTTTCCTTTAGAGGGAGCTTCGGATGCAGATATAGGAGTAAACGCTCTTCTGTCCTATAAGCTCAGTCCCAGCGAGTTTTTCTTTCTAGATGTACAAACAAATGATGAACTCAGCCAATCGCTGTTTCTTGTGCTGGGGAAATCTCTGGACAGAGAGGAAAATGCTGAGGTGAAATTGTTACTGGTAGCTACGGATGGAGGCAAGCCTGAACTCACAGGTTCTGTTCAGATACTCATTAAAGTGTTAGATGTGAATGACAAAGAACCTACTTTCCCCAAATCCGTTTACAAAGTTCAGTTGTTAGAGAACACCGAAAACGGAACCTTGGTGGTGAAATTAAAAGCGTCTGATGCAGATGAAGGACCAAACAGTGAGATTGTGTATTCACTGAGTAGTGATGTGTCTTCTACCACACGGACCAAGTTCCAAATAGACCCCAACTCGGGAGAAATCAGAACGAAGGGGGAATTAGACTACGAAGAAAGGACATCCTATGAAATTCAGGTCATTGCATCTGACAAGGGAACCCCATCAATGTCAGGACATTGTAAAATTTCAGTAAAACTCTTGGATATCAATGACAATACCCCAGAAGTCTCAATAACGTCTATCTCACTACCAGTCCAAGAAAACGCTCCACTGGGCGCTGTGATCGCCCTCATCTCAGTCTCAGACCGTGACTCAGGAATCAACGGGCAGGTGACCTGCTCCCTGACCCCTCAAGTCCCCTTCAAGCTGGTGTCCACCTTCAAGAACTACTATTCGCTCGTGCTGGACAGCGCCCTGGACAGAGAGACCACACCCGACTATAAAGTGGTGGTGACAGCCCGGGACGGAGGCTCGCCCTCGCTGTGGGCCACCGCCAGCGTGTCCGTGGAGGTGGATGATGTGAACGACAATGCACCCACGTTCGCGCAGCCAGAATACACGGTGTTCGTGAAGGAGAACAACCCGCCTGGCGCGCACATCTTCACAGTGTCTGCCATGGACGCAGATGCGCAGGAGAACGCGCTGGTGTCCTACTCGCTGGTGGAGAGGCGGGTGGGCGAGCGCTCGCTGTCGAGCTTCGTGTCTGTGCACGCGGAGAGCGGCAAGGTGTTTGCTCTGCAGCCACTGGACCATGAGGAGCTGGAGCTGCTGCAGTTCCAGGTGAGTGCGCGGGATGCTGGTGTGCCTTCCCTGGGCAGCAATGTGACTCTGCAGGTGTTTGTGCTGGACGAGAACGACAATGCGCCAACGCTGCTGTCCCACGGAGCCGTGGGAGCGGGAGGGGCAGTGAGTGAGTTTGTGCCTAAATCAGTGGGTTCGGGTCACGTGGTCACCAAGGTGAGAGCAGTGGATGCCGACTCTGGTTACAATGCTTGGCTCTCTTATGAACTGCAGACGTCGGCAGGCAATTCCCGAAGCCTGTTCCGCGTGGGTTTATATACCGGTGAGATCAGCACCACACGCGCCCTGGATGAAGCCGATGCGCTGCACCAGCGCCTGCTGGTACTGGTGAAGGATCATGGTGAACCTGCGCTGACTGCCACAGCCACAGTGCTCGTTTCTCTGCTTGAGAACAGCCAAGCTCCAAAAGCCTCGTCAAAAACGTTGGTAGATGCTATTGGCCGAGAGGCATCGCTGGTGGATGTCAACGTGTACCTGATCATCGCCATCTGCGCCGTGTCCAGCCTGTTGGTGCTCACGCTGCTGCTGTACTCCGCGCTGCGCTGCTCGGCGACGCCCACAGATGGAGCCTGTGCTCCAGGGAAGCCCGTGCTGGTGTGCTCCAGCGCGGCGGGGACCTGGTCATACTCACAGCAGAGGCGGCAGAGGGTGTGCTCTGGAGAGGGTCCGCCCAAGACCGACCTCATGGCTTTCAGCCCCAGCCTATCCCAAGGTCCGGAATCAGCGGAGGAGAGACAGCCGCCCTTAGAGTCAGAATACTTAGCAAAGGTAGGCTTAAGATTTTTTTTTTTATCTTGCCAAGAACGTTACTATTTTTGTATTGTTCATGATTCCAGTTAAATATTTAGACCTAACGCTCCGCCTTTATTTTATATCACTGTGGTGTTGTGAGATACTTGTGCATGAAGTATCAAATTCCTGCCCGTAGAACAATTCTCTTAAATATTCTCACTTTCATTGTTAGGTTCGGGACGAAATCTCTGTGTGAGTAATCAGACCTTGAATAATTGGGGGGAAAAAACACCCAGGAAAACCTGCAATTTAAACATTTATTTATTTATTTATTTATTTATTACTGTGTGTGTGCATGATGCTGGTGTGTGTCTGTAGGTGTGTGGAGTGAGGTCCTACAGTGTGTGGACCTCAAGGGACACTTTGTGTAGTTGGTCTCTCTACTTTTTATTTGGGCTGTCGAGAGCTAAGGCAGGTCACCAGCCATGCAAGGCAAGACTTCTACCTGCTGAGCCAACTCACTGGCACCAAAGCATAATAATTCAATATTACTCCTAAACGTTTTCCTTTCAAAGATTAAAAGCCCAAATTAGAAAATTTAAAAGGGCTTTAAAATTTAGGACATTTCTAAACATAGATTTCTACCCATTGTATCAGTGTCTGTTTAGCATAATATAATCTTTATTCTGGAAATTTTCCAGATTTTCTCTTTAAAACATGAATGCCAGGCTCTATATATCATTGGCCTTTACAATACACGTCAGCATCAAGGAATGCTGGGTAACTTATTTGTCCTTAATAAGGAGAATGACCAAAATTGGGCAATAAAGATGAACTATTATAAAAAATCTTTGGGTTTTCAACCAAAAGAGTGTCCACAGGACAGAACCCTTCAGATTTAGACATTTAAAGATTACATTGGGGTGGATGTGGTGGCACACGCCTTTAATCCCATTGTTTAAGCGAGGCAGGGGCAGGCTGGTCTCTGTGAGTTCAAGGCCAGCCTGGTCTACAGAGTGAGTTTCAGCACGGCCAGGGCTACACAGAGAGAAACGCTGTCTCAAAAAAAAAAGAAGTAAAGAAATAAAAGAAAAGAAAGAAAAAGAAAAAAACATTGTATTGGACTGGGTGTGGTAGTGTATGCCTTTAATCATAACATTAGGGAGGCAGAGGCAGGTGGATCGCTGTGAGTTTCAGTCTAGGCTGACCCACATAGCAGTTTCCGTGCCAACAGGACTGAATAGTTAGTCTTTGTCTGAAGACAAACTGGTTTGGCCAAGCATCCACATCTTTCCCTTTTCTTTGTACAAGTGAAGGGTATTGTGACCTAGTCTTCAGGCTAGTGCTCAACGGTCATCAATCCAGTGTTAATAGGCTAACTCAGGCAGGTTTCCTTCTGTGAAGATGCTGTCGCTCTTTGCTAGTTTACACTTTCCTTCATCCAGAGCTTACCCTGGTACCTAGTTTGTGAGCATGTTACTTGTGGAACTGGGGTTTTCCCAAAGTGCAAGGCCCAGCATGGACCATTGCATTTCCTCTGGAAACCCCTGCAGTGGGTGTTTAAAACACTGGAAGCAGAGGTAGGTGGATCTCTATGAGATCTGGTCTACATAGTGAGATCACATAAGGCTATACAATGAGGCCCTGTCTCAAAACAAAACAAGAACAATAAAAGCCCTATAATGGACGAGAGGCCCTAGGTTCAATCACCAGAACTGAAAAGAACAAACAAAACATACTAAGCATTTATCTAATTCTTTATGAGCTATCACAGCAGAGTCTATTAGAAATTATCTGTTGATTGTTAACAGTTATCATTAATGTAACTCTTCACTTATCCTTACTTGAAAAGTTAATTTAAAATGTTCATTTATTTATTCAATGTAATATTTGTAATTTATTTTATTTTAATTTAAACATAGATGATAAAATGTGAGTTAATTGAATATTGGATTTTAGTCAATGAAACATAAGTACCTGGACCTTTTATAAAATCTTTTTCTTCTAATACTTAAATTATGTGCTAAATTTCTCTTTAAACTATTCTGCCTACAAGTCAAAGTCTGGACAGTTTCTTTTTATGCATGAATATCTAAATTTGCCCTTTCAATGAGTATTCTGGTTCAACTTTAAAATGCTTAGAGGACTCATACCTTGTGTTTATTAGTGAATTCACAGAGATCTTTAAAATATTTCATTACTGGGGACTGGTGGGATGGTTCAGTAGTTAAGAACACCGTCTGCTCTTCCAGAGGTCCTGAGTTCAATTCCCAACAACCACATGATGGCTCACAACCATCTGGAATGGGACCTGACTCCCTCTTCAGTCATGCAGACATACATGCAAGTAGAACATTCATATATATATATAAAATACATTTTAAAAGAACATTTCATTGCCCAGTCTTATAAATATTGCCTAGTGACTCACGTTCCAAAATTAATTTTCTCTTTGTCTTCTTCTTTTTTTTTAATTGACAATGTTTTCAACATTTCTTCTTTTTCTCTCTTAACACTTACTTATGTTGTGTGGATGTATGTGTGTGAGTGTGCAAGTCAGAAGACAATTTTCAGGAGCCATTGTGTCGCAGGGATTGAAATCATGTCGGCAGTCTTGACAGTTTGTGGTTTTACCCACTGACCCATCCCTCAGATCCTGTTTGTTTGGGTTGGGTCCTGATTTTAGGCTGATCTTCAGCTCATGATCTTCCTGCCTCAGCCTCCTATGTCCTAGGATGACGGGTGTGCATCACAACCCTTAGTCACATGAAACCTTTTGAAGCTACTTGGTACAGAAATTCATCCAGAGAGGAGGTTGCTAGGACCATAATCATTTCGTTTTATAATATACATGTAAATTGTAATGCATGCACAGTGTTGAAATTTAAAAACAATGTCCTTATTGGTGCAATGTGAGTATAACAAATATCCAAACCACACAGTGTTGTCCTGCAGCAGAAAATACATCTACAAAAGAACTTCACTGAGAAAGACTAACTCTGGGATGGGGTTACAGCTCAGTGGCAGGGCTCTTGCCTAGGTGCTTGAGGCACTGGCTTCAATCCCCAGTAAGTAAGAAAATGAATGAGTGCGACCTGACATCTTTATATAAATACAGTTATATAAATAAAGGCAGTTAACAAAGACGCTATGCTTGCATAAAGGACCTGGGGGCGATTTACACATGTTCTAAATTAACAATTGCAAGCCAGCCTATTTTTCAGTAAGTTGGTAATACCAAAATCATATAAAACATGTATTAATAGATATTCACACATTTATCACTTATTTTTATACCTTATACCTTCATTGTCACAAATATCAAACTTATCTTTCATTTTTGTACTTTGAGACTGTCATTCTGAATGGGGATTTCATCCAGACACCGTCAGTTAAACCATTTTTAATTTGCTTAGTCTTTATGTACTTGTAATTAATGAATTAAAACTCATCTTAGAAGATTGTTGTGAAAATTTAATGGGAAAGCTTCGTTAAGAAAAACTGTGTGCCTATCATACAGAGAGCTCATTATTAGCAGTGAAACCATGAGTTGGAGAGATTTTATAAAAAATGTAAGGCTGTATTCTGGTTAAAAATAAACTCTGTGGTGACTGCTTGAAGGAAATCACAGGTCAAAACACAAATTTGGGGACAATTCAAATGAGACATATAAGAAAATAAACACATTCAATACTTACACATTTAGCCACTTGGTGTCGCTGTCCACCACAAGTTCCTTCATTAAACGCAGCGGGTTTTACATTCACATAATCCTTTTCGTCGCAGTCTCAGACAAAATGGTAACGGTATGGAGTTTAAGATGTGAAGAATAAAAAACTGAAAATATTTAAGAAATTTTGGATCCGTGTGAGAGCGACCAAACGTTTGGAAGGAGCTAGCGATGGTGTTTTCTTGGAGAGAAGATCAGCGTCTGCTGCTCTGGCTTCTGCTCCTCTCAGCATGGGAGGCAGGGAGCGGCCAGCTCCACTACTCCATCCCCGAGGAGGCCAAACACGGAACCTTCGTGGGCCGCATCGCTCAGGACCTGGGGCTAGAGCTGGCGGAGCTGGTGCCCCGCCTGTTCAGGGTGGCGTCCAAGGACCGCGGGGACCTTCTGGAGGTAAATCTGCAGAATGGCATTTTGTTTGTGAATTCTCGGATCGACCGGGAGGCGCTGTGCGGGCGGAGCAAGGAGTGTAGCATCCACCTGGAGGTGATCGTGGACCGGCCGCTGCAGGTTTTCCACGTGGAGGTGGAGGTGAGGGACATTAATGACAACCCGCCGGTATTTCCAGTGGCCACAAAGAATCTGTTTATTTCTGAATCTCGACAGCTTGGCTCTCGGTTTTCGCTAGAGGGCGCTTCAGACGCAGATATCGGAACAAATTCATTGTTGACTTACAGTCTTAACTCCAGTGAGTATTTTACTTTGGACGTTAAAAGAAAAGATGAGGAAGTTAAATCCCTGGGACTCGTGTTGAAAAAACTTTTAAATCGAGAGGACATTCCCGAACATCATTTACTGATAACAGCAGTTGATGGCGGGAAACCGGAGCTAACTGGCACCACTCAAGTGAAGATCACTGTCCTAGATGTGAACGACAACGCCCCCGCGTTTGAGAGGACGCTCTACAAAGTCAGATTAACCGAAAACGCACCAAATGGTACCGTAGTAGTGGATGTCAACGCCTCTGATTTGGATGAAGGAGTAAATAAGGACATTGTATATTCTTTCCACACGGATATGTCAGCTGAGATCCTGTCAAAATTCCACTTAGACCCGGTTAATGGACACATCACTGTGAAAGACAACATAGATTTCGAGGAAACGAAATCTTTTGAAATCCAGGTAGAGGCAGCAGACAAGGGAAACCCTCCAATGACAGATCACTGCACGGTTCTCGTTGAAATTGTGGACGTTAACGATAATGTGCCTGAATTGGTCATCAAATCACTATCAATTCCCGTGTTAGAAAATTCTGCACCTGGCACCGTGATCGCCCTGATCAGTGTGTCAGACCGTGACTCTGGAGCCAAAGGGCAGGTGACCTGATCCCTGACCCCTCAAGTCCCCTTCAAGCTGGTATCCACCTTCAAGAATTACTATTCGCTCGTGCTGGACAGCGCCCTGGACAGAGAGACCACACCTGACTATAAGGTGGTGGTGACAGCCCGGGATGGGGGCTCGCCCTCTCTGTGGGCCACCGCCAGCGTGTCCGTGGAGGTGGCTGACGTGAATGACAATGCGCCCGCGTTCGCACAGCCCGAATACACGGTGTTCGTGAAAGAGAACAACCCGCCTGGTGCGCACATCTTCACGGTGTCGGCTACGGACGCGGACGCGCAGGAGAACGCACTGGTATCCTACTCGCTGGTGGAGAGGCGGGTGGGCGAGCGCTCGCTGTCGAGCTTCGTGTCTGTGCACGCGGAGAGCGGCAAGGTGTTCGCTCTGCAGCCTCTGGACCATGAGGAGCTGGAGCTGCTGCAGTTCCAGGTGAGCGCGCGGGATGCTGGTGTGCCTTCCCTGGGCAGCAATGTGACTCTGCAGGTGTTTGTGCTGGATGAGAACGACAATGCGCCCACGCTGCTGGGGCCTCAGGCGGGCAGCACAATAAGCGAACTGGTGTCACGGACAGTGGGTGCAGGGCATGTGGTGACAAAGGTGCGCGCAGTGGATGCGGACTCTGGCTACAATGCGTGGCTGTCCTATGAGCTGCACTCGGCCATGGGCAGCGGGCGCCTTCCGTTCCGGGTGGGTCTGTACACAGGTGAAATCAGCACCACTCGTGTCCTAGACGAGACAGATGCGCCAAAACAGCGCCTACTGGTGCTGGTGAAGGATCATGGCGAGCCAGTGCTGACAGCCACAGCCACCTTACTAGTGTCTCTGGTGGAGAGTGGGCACACGGCAAATGCCCCATCACGGGCCTTGGTGAATTCTGCGGGCAGGGAGGCATCGCTGGTGGATGTCAACGTGTACCTGATCATCGCCATCTGCGCCGTGTCCAGCCTGATGGTGCTCACGCTGCTGCTGTACACCGCGCTGCGCTGCTCAGCGACACCCACAGAGGATCCCTGCGGTCCTGGGAAACCCGTGCTGGTGTGCTCCAGCGCAGTGGGGACCTGGTCATACTCACAGCAGAGGAGACAAAGAGTGTGCTCTGGAGAGGGTCCGCCCAAGGCCGACCTCATGGCCTTCAGCCCAAGTCTTACACCCTGTCCAGTTAATCAGGAGAAAGAGGACAAACTGCTATCAGACATTGATTTCTCCGTCAAAGTGAGTAATTTTCCCCTCTAAATTGGTCTCGTTTTATATGCTAACATTTTACTCCTTGGAGATAGGTTAAAATTATTCTATTCACGTTCTTTCTGTTGAGTCCTTTACACTTACTAATTTTGCCACTAAAACTGTAGGTTCTTGTCTAAATTGTGTGCTGAATTGACAAGTGTGTTTGTTGATAAATACGGTGGTAGGGTTATTTTCCCGCAGATTGTGTACAAATTGGAACCATTATCTTCTTGTGTGAATGGCGTCACCTAGAGCCCCTGGCTCCAGCTCCCTGTCACTAACCCCGTGCAAAGCTTCAGCATCTTTTGCTTCTTTCTCAAGGATTTTTAGGAAGCACTAGTAGAACAGTCACTGGCCCACTTACTGAGCCATTCGTTAGTCATGATTGGTATTCAGAGATGGTCCCCAGTAAGAATTTTATTTGACTCATCACTCACAGGACATTAGGCTCCTTACAACAACACAGAAGGGGCTAACGCTGAAGAAATTTTACTGGGATCGTAGTTTAAAAATTATGTACAGACTTGTTTTAAACAAATTACCCAAATTGAAAATAGTTTTTCATTAGGTTAAAAATATTATTTTGAAAACATTTAAATGTATTGTGAGAGTATTACATTTTATTCCACAGTGATTTCAATTAAAACTTTAAATTATGTGTGTGTTTAGTACATGCACATAGGTGCTCTCAACGGCTAGCTATCTCGTCTCTCCATAGTGACACTTTAAGTGTTACATTAAAAATTATGAGAATCAAAGTGAAACAAGGTTCTGAAAGCACTTTTCATAAAAATGCATTTCATATGTTGTCCTCCTATTTTTGGCCTGAAAATTGAAACATATTTTTAATATTGTGAAGTTATTCAGTTTGGACCATGAATATATGTCTGCCTTGCAATAGGAAACCTTCAGATAATTGATACCAAATAAAACTTAAGTGGGACTATTCTTCAGTTATTTTTGCAATGCATATGTCCATTTCTATTACAAAATACTTGGACTTCCATCCAATTCCCCTTGTTTCCAGAGAGAACTAATACTCAAATAAAACCTGATTAGCGCTTAATACATGCGATTAGTCCAACATACGAAATATGTTTTCTTTATCTTTTCTCTTTCCCATTTCCATTTTCTCTCCCAGAATTATCTTTCTCTGCTCCTTCATTCATCAAGTATTTGCCGTGGAACATCCAACCTCAATTCAATACTTACTTTATCAGTTTGTTATCATCCCGCTGTAGGTCACGGGGTCATCCAGAGTTCCTCTTCCTTTCATCTTCTAATCCAGATCTTCTTGAAACACTTGATTAAAATACTTCCAAAGATATACTTTTTTGAATAATTTTGAGATAGGATTTCAAACAGTCCACTTGGACTTGAACTTCAGTGAAGATGGCTTGAATAAATTTGAAGGGTTTCCTTTTCTCTATAGCTATGTTTTTGAGCTATAAAAGTGAATAATTAATTGATTTGTTGACCAATTAATTAATGCACATGTGTGTCACACATATAGAGATCCGAGGGCAAGTTGTGGGAGTTGACAACTATCTTTCCTCCATGTATTCAAACTCAATTGCAAGTTTTCATGGCAACTGCTTTTTACCCACCAATTCTTTGCACTGGCTGCAAAATGAGTATTTATTTATTTAATATGTATTTGTTTCAAATTAGTATTGTATTAGTTATTTATAGTGCATCTGTGACAAACTCCTGATAAAATCAACTTTGAAAAGGAAAGGTTTGCTTTTGCTCGCAGTCCCAGGGTACGGTCCATCATGACGGGGAAGTCTTGGCAGCAGGTCAGCTTGTGCCTGCGGTCAGGAAGCAGAGAGTGTTGAACACCGGTGCTCAGCTCTTTCTGCTTTTGATTCAAAGCAAGAACCCAGCTCTGGGGTGGTTTTGCCCACTTTCAGAATTAATCTTCTCACCTCAATTAATGTACCCAAAATATCCCTCAAGGATACACTCAGAGGGTGGCTGCCATTAGGGTTGTTGCAAATCAAGTTAACAATGAAGACCAACTGTCACAAATATCCATTCCTATTCTGTTGCATCCTCAACCTACACACCTACAGGCTCTGTAAATAAAACAAAGGGAATGTACTTCTTGTGGCTTCTTACAGTATGTTTTACATATTTGATAATTTGAAAAAGAATCCTTTGACCATTCAGTGAGAGTATGTTTATTTCTGTTTAGATTCAGAAATTAGTGTTTATGTGAGTGAGAGAGAGGAAAGGATAGAGGCTTTTCACAGAGAGGGAGGCTTAAAATTATTTTTTTGATAACGTGTTTTTTTTAAAAATCTAAACAAACTTGGAAGAAAGAAACTTATGAATTTAAGATGCAAAAGTAGTCTGCAGGGGGCCACCTCTGCCATCTCCTTTCCTTTAAGGTTCTAGGAGTCTGCAGAGGCACCTTCACCATCTCCTCCTTTGCTAAAGCTGTATAAAAATTACTTTATTTGTTGGGAACTCTCCACTGTCCATTAAAACCCTGGATGAATCAAAGATTTGCCTGGTAAAATGTGGCGTGAAGATTAAGGTAAAACCCAGGCTTCCTAAATTGAAATATATCCTCTTCCGGTCAGGGTCTTATATAGATTTATATCCTCTATAGATTTCTATCTCTAGAAAATTAAAGTGTTGAGACCCATGAGTTTTAACCTTTCATTAATGTATTTTATGCCGGGCGGTGGTGGCGCACACCTTTAATCCCAGCACTCAGGAGGCAGAGGCAGGCGGATCTCTGTGAGTTCGAGACCAGCCTGACCTACAAGAGCTAGTTCCAGGACAGGCTCCAAAATGACAGAGAAACCCTGTTTAGAAAAAGCAAGAAAAAATAGTATTTTATTAAGAAGATAATAAACGAACCGGGACTGGGGATGTAGTCCAGTTACTAAAGGGCTTGTCTAGTATGCAAGAAGCACTGAGTTCTGTGCCCAGCACCCCATGAAACTTTTGGTGGTTCATGCCTGTGATATAGCACTTGGGGCAGGGGAGTCAGACATTTAGGGTCAACCATGGCTACACTGTGAGTTCAAGGATATCCTGGGGCAAATAAAACCCTGTCTCAAACATGAAAAGAAAAGAAAACCAGTTGTGTTGGTTTTCCTGCAAAACATTATTTGAATACCTCTGAGGTACTAATATTAATATATAATACTTAACATTAAAAGTATTATTTCAAAAGAGGGCACGCATACTTAAAGGGTTGTGAAGGAGAAATTAAAGTAACAAATGAGCCAAACAATGCAGTCTTGGTGTTGCAGATTATCAAAGAGGGTAAAATAACTGTCCAGTTGCTTTAATAATAAAATGTCTCATAATTTGGGGAGCTTTTAAAATGGTTACAAAGTGTGTGAGATTGGTTTGTAGAGAGTTAAATTTATTTAACTTTATGTCTTATGGAAACAAATTACACAGAGAATCTTATTTTCTGAACCCATTACTTAATGGACAAAGAGGGTGTGTGTCTGTTTGCTAATGAATGCTTTTTCAGAGGTAAGAAATTATCCTCTTTGACTAAAATACATGAGAACAATGTGAGGAAATAGAAATCTAGGCAGTTGAATTCCAGAAAGCACCTGAAATTTACAAACTTTGAGAAGACAAATGAGACTACCAAATTTGCTCATAGGAGTTGAAGTTCCTTAGAATAAAATAATGTGGAAAGTTCTTCAACACAAACTACTTACTACCTGTTTCAAATTCCACATTAAATCTCCTATGGACATCCAGCCCTTCTGTGATGCCAGGAAGAAAGTCATTTGAATGCTAACAGACTTTGATTGCTTAAAACAGTATCTGCAAACTTCCCTTTGGATGACTTGTTCTTAGAATCATTGGTTCCCTAAATATTGCTTCTGTCAAGATTCAGAACCAACACTGCAAACCCAAGGATGAACCGAGTGTCATTAGCAATCATAACCCATCATTTGATGGTGCACGAGGAATCTGTCATGAATTTTCCTAATCTACACCTCACCACTGCATGTTTACAAAGTTTATATTAATGATAGTTGGGTTTCTGTAAATACTTAAAACCTACATGAAAAAAGAATTTCTATTGTATTAGAAGTTGATTTTCTGGTAAAACGAAAGATCACACACATTTAGTCACTGGTACAGAACGCATACCTGCAAAATATAACTCTATTTTGCAAAGCGGAAAAACCTATTTGAGAAGCTGAAGGAATAAACAAGACAATTTTTAGTGTTGTACATTTCCGGAACTCATACTTACAGTTCGGGGCCACATGATGTCGCTCTTTACCATAAAATAAATCCGACAGAAGACAGACTAAAGGAAAAACCATTTCCATTCTTCCCGGAAAGCTGCATACGCCATCCCGGATCTGGACAATGGAGGATGCAGTGGCGGTGGACTGACGGATTAGAATTCTATCTCTGAGAGGATCCCTGATCAGAACAAAGGATTGTGCACTTGAGATGGAATTTTTCTGGGGAAGTGGCCAGGAATCACGGCGCCTGCTTTTCTCTTTTTTGCTTCTTGCAATCTGGAAGGGAGGGAACAGCCAGCTCCACTACTCCATCCCCGAGGAGGCCAAACACGGAACCTTCGTGGGCCGCATCGCTCAGGACCTGGGGCTGGAGCTGGCAGAGCTGGTGCCCCGCCTGTTCAGGGTGGCGTCCAAGGACCGCGGGGACCTTCTGGAGGTAAATCTGCAGAATGGCATTTTGTTTGTGAATTCTCGGATCGACCGGGAGGCGCTGTGCGGGCGGAGCTTGGAGTGTAGCATCCACCTGGAGGTGATCGTGGACCGGCCGCTGCAGGTTTTCCACGTGGAGGTGGAAGTGAGGGACATTAACGACAATCCTCCCATATTCCCCGCGACACAAAAGAATCTGTACATTGCAGAATTAAGGCCTCTTGACACTTGGTTTCCACTAGAGGGCGCATCAGATGCAGATATTGGAACCAATGCTCTGCTGACTTATAGGCTAAGTCCCAATGACTATTTTTCTTTGGAAAAACCATCAAACGATGAACGGGTAAAAGGTCTTGGACTTGTATTACGAAAATCCTTAGACCGAGAGGAAACTCCAGAGATTTTTCTATTGCTCACAGCCACCGACGGAGGCAAACCCGAGCTGACCGGCTCTGTTGAGTTACTCGTTACAGTGCTGGACGTCAACGATAATTCTCCAGTTTTTGACAGATCCCTCTACACCGTGAAGTTACCAGAAAACGTCCCAAATGGGACACTGGTAGTCAAAGTCAATGCCTCTGATTTAGACGAAGATGTGAATGGGGATATTATGTACTCGTTTTCGACGGATATTTCACCAAACGTGAAACGTAAATTCCACATAGACCCAGTTACAGGACAGATCGCTGTAAAGGGATCCATTGATTTTGAAGAATGCAAATCCTATGAAATTCTCATAGAGGGCATTGACAAGGGACAAATCCCGCTTTCCGGACACTGTAAAGTTATTGTAGAAGTTGAAGACGTCAATGATAATGTTCCAGAGCTGGAATTCAAATCTCTGTCGCTTCCAATCCTAGAGAATGCTCCAGTGGGCACCGTCATCGCACTCATCAGTGTGTCTGATAGGGACATGGGTGTCAACGGGCAGGTGACCTGCTCCCTGACTCCTCATGTCCCCTTTAAGCTGGTGTCCACATTCAAGAACTACTATTCGCTCGTGCTGGACAGCGCCTTGGACAGAGAGAACACACCTGACTATAAGGTGGTGGTGACAGCCCGGGACGGGGGCTCGCCCTCGCTGTGGGCCACAGCCAGCGTGTCCGTGGAGGTGGCTGATATGAACGACAACGCGCCCGCGTTCGCGCAGCCCGAATACACGGTGTTCGTGAAAGAGAACAACCCGCCTGGCGCGCACATCTTCACAGTGTCGGCTATGGACGCAGACGCGCAGGAGAACGCGCTGGTGTCCTACTCGCTGGTGGAGAGGCGGGTGGGCGAGCGCTCGCTGTCGAGCTTCGTGTCTGTGCACGCGGAGAGCGGCAAGGTGTTAGCTCTGCAGCCTCTGGACCATGAGGAGCTGGAGCTGCTGCAGTTCCAGGTGAGCGCGCGGGATGCTGGTGTGCCTTCCCTGGGCAGCAATGTGACTCTGCAGGTGTTTGTGCTGGATGAGAACGACAATGCACCAACACTGCTGGAACCCGAGGCGGGAGTGTCTGGTGGAGTGGTGAGCCGGCTGGTGTCAAGGTCAGTGGGTGCGGGCCATGTGGTGGCGAAGGTGCGCGCGGTGGATGCGGATTCTGGCTATAATGCATGGCTGTCTTATGAGCTACAGTCGCCGACAGGCAATTCCCGTAGTCCTTTCCGGGTGGGTCTGTACACGGGCGAGATTAGTACCACGCGCATCTTGGATGAGGCGGATTCGCTGCGCCAGACCCTTTTTGTGTTGGTGAAGGACCATGGTGATCCAGCAATGACTGTTACCGCCACGGTGTTGGTGACGCTGGTAGAGAATGGCCAGGTGCCAAAGACTCCATCGCGAGTGTCCACGAGTGTCACAAACTCGGAGGCATCACTGGTAGATGTCAACGTGTACCTGATCATCGCCATCTGCGCGGTGTCCAGCCTGTTGGTGCTCACACTGCTGCTGTACACCGCGCTGCGCTGCTCCACTGTTCCCAATGAGAGCGTGTGTGGGCCTGGAAAACCAGTAATGGTGTGCTCCAGCGCAGTGGGGAGCTGGTCGTACTCTCAGCAAAGAAGGCAAAGGGTGTGCTCTGGGGAGTACCCACCTAAGACTGACCTCATGGCCTTCAGCCCCAGTTTATCTGATTCAAGGGACAGAGAGGATCAATTGCAGCCCACAGGGGATTCCTCTGGAAAGGTCAGTCTTACTATAGTCTTTAATTTGAATTTTCATATGTGGTTTATCATTTTCTTCACAATTTTTATTTATTACTGGACATGGGATTCTTGCTCGGTGGTCGTTTTCCTTCAGGACTTTGAATATATCTTCTAGTGTGCAAATTTTCCGCTGAGAAATCTTCTGATAAGCTTTATCAGTGTTCCCTTGTATATGTTCCTTGCTGCGGTCAAAATTCTCTCTTCATTGTCAATGAGCGTGTAGATGAGGCCTTACTCAGCTTCATCCTAGCTGAGCTACCTTAAGGTTCTGTGCTCTGTCCATTTCACGCCCAGATTTGGAGCATCAGGCCCCACGTTCTCTAAGATTTCTGCTTGTTTTCCTCTTCTCTCTGTGAATCACAGCCCACATATTGGCTCACTCTTTAGACCCCGTAAGTCTTAGTCCTTTTTCAGTCTTTAAGGTTCTGTTTTTACTCTCTTCCTGAGTAAATTCAAACATTCCACCTTGAAGCTATTGTGTCTTTTCCTGGTAATGTGTGCTGTTGAATTGCGTTAAGGCAACGACTCCGTCTCTGTTGAAATTCTTTTCTGTTAATGTTCTATTTTCTTGAGTTCATTGGACATTTTGTGTTGGTTACTTAAACAGTCAGAACCCACTGGCCTCTATGTCTTCACACTTGCTTTTTGTAGATAGCAGAAATTCTTTTGTGTTGTCTTGTTCCCCCCCCCCCCGTTATTATATGGTCTTGGCATTCCCTTATTTGTAGAAGAAAACCCCAGCCACCTTTCCCAATCTCCCTGGCCTACCTTTGCACAGGTAAAAGCCCTTATTCGTCAATTGTCTAAGAACCTGGGCTCCATCCAGTCATTTGGGCAGATGTATATTTTCTGTAGTTTTATGCCCAACGTCCTAGCAGGAGCGAGCCACTGATTGCTTTTTTCCTGACCTCATAAACGCTGCTCCCACTGGTGTGGGTTCATTGCACTGTGACTACCGGGAGCGGCAGTGTCTCCTCTCCTCTTTCTTCTCCACACAGGGTCTCACTAGAAGGCCTGGCTGCAGGGAACTCATTAAGTAGGCCAGGCTGACCTGGAAATCACAAAGATACTCCTACCCCTGCCCCCAAGGGCCGGGATTAAAGGTGTGCACCCACACCCAGGTGCAACATTTTGTTGTTGTTTTGAGTCATTTCCAGGCACCTAAAACTTGTGTGCTCTATCAGGGTGCTGATTGGGGTGAGACAGGAAAGAATTTCTTGATCTTCCCGCTGAGATGTCATAACATTGGGTCCCTGCTCCACTCTTCTCTTCTCCTCATGAAAGAAGCTGCTAGGGCAGGGCAGGTGAACTGCAGGCCCTGTGGCGCATTGACTGCTGCTGGTTTCCCTCACTCATCCTGCAATACGTTGGCTTACACTTGTGCTCTGAGTCGTGAGACAGAGACCAACCCTTCAGGTAGAGCTCTGCCCCCTGAAACGTAGGATGTAGAACACATGTCCCACTCCTTGGAGAGATGGCAGAAGCTGTTGCTTCTCCCTGAGTGAGTGGTACTGTGCTGAGAGAAAAGAAGATGATGAGAAGTCCTTGCGTTTCTCGTCTGCTTTGGAATGAGAGTTTTGAGCTCCTCTGGAGGGCAGAAGTGTCTTGCTTCGTTTTTAGGTTTCTCTTGATTGGCACAAGAGTGTCCTTTTTGAGGGAAAGAAGGGTCTGGGATCTCATACAACCCCTTCCTACTGATGTCTGTAGCTCTAACCTGTGTCTTAAACTCATATTTTCTTTTAGTTTTCTCTTCGGTTTCGTAGAGATTATAATGCTCACTATGGACTTGTTAAAGCATAAACCAATACTTGTAATGTACAATAACTTTGAGTGGGCCTTGGGAAATCATATGGTTCATCTGCTCCCACTTCATGCTTTTGAATTGGATACAGATCCTAGACATCCAATGATCACTTTTGTACCGTTAATGCCCATTTATGCTCGTGTTTCTTCTTAAAAACTTATTTTTCTTCTGAAAAAGTTCTTGAATATTTCCTTTCCTATGGTTTGATAATGAAGAAATCCCCATGTTTTGCATGTTCAGATATAGTATTTCAGTTCCACCTTTGAGAAATAGTTTTGCTGGGTATTTAATGCTGAATTGGCAGTTATTTTTCACATAACTTTCAAGATAACTTTTTTATAGTTCTTTCTTAAGAATATGAAAGCTGAATTTATTATTGATAGAGTGTGATTTTCCTCTTTTTTTTTAGCTCTTTTAAAAATTCTGTTTTAAAATTGTCAATAACCTTACATTACCTGATAAGCTTTGATTTACTTTTAAAATCTTCTTTGAAGTTATCACAATATTTTGTATCTGTGAGTTGATACTTTATCAATTTAAAATTAATATTTATGTGCTGGAGAGATGGCTCAGTGGTTAAGAGCATTGCCTACTCTTCCAAAGGTCCTGAGTTCAATTCCCAGCAACCACATGGTGGCTCACAACCATCTGTAATGAGGTATGGTGCCCTCTTCTGGCCTGCAGACATACACACAGACAGAATATTGTATGCATAATAAATAAATAAATATTTTTAAAAAATAATATTTATTAGTATACCTTCAAATATGGCTTCTACCTTGCATTACTCTCCTGGGAATCAGAGCATTTGCATGTTAAATCTTTTCTCCCTATACTTCATTTTGCATCGAATTTGTGCTTTTAAGTCACTGATGGTCTTCACTGCATGATTCTTATGTATGTTATTGCAACTTTCCCCTTACTTACTCATTTTTTCTTTTCCTTCTCCTCTTCTTCTTTGATTTTTTTGAGGCAGAGTTTTTCTGTGTAGCCCTGAAACTTGCTCTGTAGATCAGGCTGGCCTCAGACTCTGAGATCTGCTTCCTCTGTCTCTGAAGTTTTGGGGTTAAAGGTGTGGACCACATGCCTTACTATTTTCTTGTTAGTCTGGGCTACCACCCACTTAGCCAACTGAATTCTTCACTTCTATCACTGCCTTTTCAGTTTTAGAGCCCTGTTTGCCTTTTTTAAAAATTAGAGGTTTTTAAAAAAATTTGTTACTTTTGTGAATTTAATCAACACAATAATTATAGTTATTCGACCTCTCAGGTCACTGAATCATCTGACACCCCATGTTTTGCTTCTCATAACCTTCTTATCAGGTCTGATAATATTGAATAGAATTCTAGATTGTACATGGAAAGTTGCAGTTGTCCTGAATGATAGTTTCTTTCAGAGAAGGATAACCTACTAAGATATTTGCTTGATGTGCAATTAGGAAATCTGCCTGTCCTTATTGAGAACGACTGAATGGAAATAAATAGTAGCTTATTTTTCACTCCTGTGCTATCTGTAATGATGAGTGTTATAAACATTTAAGCTGTGTGTCTCCTATCATTACTCTTATTATACTTTGCCAGGCAACACAGAGTAAAGTGAATCATAGAGTGTAGGGGTAAAGGATTGCGCTACCACCAAAATATCCAGGAAAAGGACCAGTGAGTTGGGCCAGCCAAGACAGTATTCTTTAATAACTGACTGAAAGAATGACTTAGAAGATTTAAAGGCTCTTTCCTCACGTCTTCTGTGGGATTTAGAATGTAGTAACTGAGAAAGAAATCCTCAAATTAAGAATCAACTACAAAATGACAAATACAGACTTGATTCCAACAGCTACAAAGATGAGCCAAATGTTAAGAGACTTCTGTCTTCCACACATCTGTGTAAAAATGTAAACTCTGTTCCATATTAGCAATGCCCTTTCTCCAGTGACTACACCATTGCCTTTACTGGATCCTAAATATATTTGTGGCACGCTACTTCTCAATCAATATTAGGATTCTATTTGCTGAATAGATGTAAGATAGTTGATTATACAATTTACATATTAGTAGCAACTCGAATAATTGCGACTTGGACACTGTATCTTGAAAATGGGGTGAAGTTGCTTACCAAATTGTATGACATCTGGACAATTACAGTCTCCACATTAGAGCAATACAACATAAAAATTGGTAGGTGTTGAAAAAGATTAAAGGGCTAAATGCTCACAAATTTGGATAGATTTCAAAAAGGAGCCCAAGTTAGTATCATATTAAAACTCTTAATTATTTTAGAAGATAGCATCAATAAATCACCAGTATTAAACACTGAAATTTAGAAAATTCTCTTCAATTAATACTGAAGCAGTATAAGTCCATTAAGGGGATACGGAAAATTTTTTAAAAAATTAGGTGATAGATGAATATGAAAACAACACTACTCAACAACTAACTATTGAAAATAATAACTATTAAAAGATTTTCTTTGATCAGTTTGAGTATAAACTCCTCTATAACAAAACAGGTAAAACAAATTACTTTGGGTGTCTTTACTGAAGATATATCCATATGCAGTGGTATAATCATGTTGATGCTTTGTTTAGGTGTCTTTATAAAGTTAAGTCCAATTGGAAGACCATCAGCAGAAAATCTGGGGATTGGGAAGTAATGCAATGAAGGTAGAAACCCTGGTTAATAAAGCGATATTTAAATAGAGAAGAGGGCTATACGGAAGCATAGAAAACATGTAATTGAAATTGAGTAGTATTGAGAAATATTTCACTAATAAAAGGTAAGTGAATAAAACAGACCAAAATAAAATACTTACCCTTTTAGCCACATGATGTCGCTAGACACCACGATATTTTCTTCTCTTCCAACGTCAAGAGGAAACGGAGAATACATTTTACTTTGGAAAAGGGCCTTCCATTTTAGACTCTGCTACAGAAGCTCACACACACAAAAAGCGAGGATATTAAATTGGAATTACGTTTTCAAAGGATTTTCTTGGTGCTGCAATAAAGACTGGAGAAGTGGAACAAGACTGCGATGCTATATTCCCAGCAAGGAAGTCCGGGATTCCGGCGCCTGCTCATCTCTTTTCTGCTCCTCTCAGCCTGGGAGGCAGGGAGCGGCCAGCTCCACTACTCCGTCCCCGAGGAGGCCAAACACGGAACCTTCGTGGGCCGCATCGCGCAGGACCTGGGGCTGGAGCTGGCGGAGCTGGTGCCCCGCCTGTTCAGGGTGGCGTCCAAGGACCGCGGGGACCTTCTGGAGGTAAATCTGCAGAATGGCATTTTGTTTGTGAATTCTCGGATCGACCGGGAGGCGCTGTGCGGGCGGAGCTTGGAGTGTAGCATCCACCTGGAGGTGATTGTGGACCGGCCGCTGCAGGTTTTCCACGTGGAGGTGGAGGTGAGGGACATTAACGACAACCCGCCTAGGTTCTCCCGACCAGAACAAAGATTACTTATTTTAGAGTCAAGAATGCCAGACTCGCGGTTTCCGATAGAGGGCGCATCTGACATGGATACAGGAGCCAATGCAGCCTTGAGTTATAAGCTAAACCCTAATGAATATTTTGACTTGGATCTTAAAAGAAACGAAGAAGAAACAAACGTCTTAGAGCTGGTTTTGAAGAAGCCTTTAGACAGAGAAGAAGCCCAAGAGCATCGTTTGCTATTGATTGCAACCGATGGAGGGAAACCTGAACTAACAGGTACTGTACAGTTACTGATTGACGTACTGGATGCAAATGATAACGCTCCGAAGTTTGATAAAGCTATTTATAACGTTAGATTGTTGGAAAATACACCCAACGAGACATTAGTAGTTAAACTTAACGCTTCAGATGCGGATGAGGGAATTAATAGTGAAATACTGTATTTCTTCAGTAATCTTGTTCTAGATGATGTAAAATCTAAATTTACAATAGATTCAACCAGCGGAGAAATAAAAGTTAAGGGGGAGTTGGATTACGAAGACCGCAAATTATATGAAGTTAATATTGACGCCGTGGACAGAAGTACATTCCCACTAGCAGGACACTGTAAAGTTATAGTGAAACTAGTGGATGTAAATGATAACGTGCCCGAAATGGCCATAACATCGCTGTTCTTGCCTATCAAAGAGGATGCTCAGTTGGGGACTGTTATTGCCCTGATTAGTGTGTCTGATCGCGACTCAGGCGCTAATGGCCAGGTGACCTGCTCTGTTACCCCGCATGGCCCCTTCAAGCTGATGTCCACCTTCAAGAATTACTATTCGCTCGTGCTGGACAGCGCCCTGGACCGCGAGACCACACCTGACTATAAGGTGGTGGTGACAGCCCGGGATGGGGGCTCACCCTCGCTGTGGGCCACCGCCAGCGTGTCCGTGGAGGTGGCTGATGTGAACGACAATGCGCCCGCGTTTCCGCAGCCCGAATACACGGTGTTCGTGAAGGAGAACAACCCGCCTGGCGCGCACATCTTCACGGTATCGGCCATGGACGCAGATGAGCAGGAGAACGCGCTGGTGTCCTACTCGCTGGTGGAGAGGCGGGTGGGCGAGCGCTCGCTGTCGAGCTTCGTGTCTGTGCACGCGGAGAGCGGCAAGGTGTTTGCTCTGCAGCCTCTGGACCATGAGGAGCTGGAGCTGCTGCAGTTCCAGGTGAGCGCGCGGGATGCTGGTGTGCCTTCCCTGGGCAGCAATGTGACTCTGCAGGTGTTTGTGCTGGATGAGAACGACAATGCGCCCACGCTGCTGC